CAACTGGTCCACGGTGCGCGATCCGAACTTGTGCTTCAATACGGCATGCACGAAATCCGATATAGATATGACCCCCATGCCGCAATCGTCCACCGACCGAAGGAAGTCATCCAAGCCGCTTCCCATGCCACCCCTCTTCTCGGTAGGGTCCTCCACGATGCCCAATATATTGTGACACTGGGTGTTCTCCTCAAGGTGGGACTCAAGGTCCACTATTGTGATGAAGCCCGTGCTTTCTGTGTCGATCATGTTGAACACCGCCTCAATCTGAATAATGTTCAGAGGTCCTTTGGATTTCTTTCGGCCTGCATCAACGTTCTCACCGCTCCTGAAAATAAGCTCAACAAACAAACCGGTGGCAATATTTGCAAAATAGAGCTGCATCACTGTCTGGTACATTATCCATGTTAGGGCGAATACAAGAGCTCCGCTATTCACTCCATCACTGATAAGAGGCCTGAATACGTCCTCTGAGTGATCGAGCGCGCCCACGAACACCTCCATTAGAGTCAAGATCGACTCGTGGACAGAACTGAAATGGGCATCTATGACATCCCCAAAGACACCCTCATTGAACTCCAGTTTGGACAGAAGAATCGCTCGGAAGACGGACCCGGCCATAAAGAATATCCGCCACCGTGCCGCCAGGCGCCGGGTGGAGTGCCCTCAAGCCCCATGACCTCTCTAAGCTCTCCGCGGCAAGAGCTAGGGAGAACGGCCCCAAGCACTGGCCCCAGACTGCATAAATTCCTGGGCGCTCCGTGGCGCTGTGCCAGCACGTCGCGGGACGGTCCAGCGGCCTCAGGAGCACGGTTGGGAGTCTACGCTTCCCGCGAGGCGTGAGGTGGCCCCAAAAGATAGCTGCCGGCCTCTCCGACATGTCGCTCGGACATTCTGGACGGTTGCGATCGGAATCCGGGGGCTGGGCCAGAGGTTCGCGTTCTGGACCTCTAGATTCCAGCGTGCTTCCCCTTCGCCTCCGCCACCTCCAGAAGGGGGAGATTTCAGACTATATGAAGGGAGGTTTGCATTGTTACAGATAGCCTATCATCTTCCCGTATCTGATGAATGGCGGCGGGGGTGAGATGAGAAAATGAACAGGATCAGGGAGATACGCACTGAATTTATCAAAAACAGGTTCACGAAGAGCTGCCTGAACCCGTTCTCCCCTTGGGAATCCTAGCGGTCACAGAAGGGTACAATCAGATATTCAGACAATTTCAAGCAATGGGAAATCATTCGCATTACAAACAACTTGAACACGTCAGTGGGGCAAACACCCTGTGAGGGTAAACAAACGCAACACACACGAAACCACAATTGACAATCCCTGCGAAGGTTATTACACGCAACGTGTGTGTAAACATGTTTTCGGTGTTCGGGCCTCCTCCAGGCCCACCTCCACGCAATTAAACACATCAAGACACCCTCCCACTTAAGCGCAACAAGAGTGTATTGCGGCCACGATCCCTACGAAGACCATCATACCACACAGTAACAACTCCATATCATTCTGCCGACCATGGAAGCCGCACACAATCTAAGGGCTTAGGGCTCCGTGCCACTTCCAAGCGCAATGCCACAAACTTTTGAATTATCAGGTGACCTTGAGAAAACGTCTTGACGCCGCGATCTATGGGAGGGCCATGAAAATAAATAAGCAAACCACAACAAACACACATCCATATGAGGGCCCCCCCAAACAGGTGTTACGTGTGTTCGGATCTTCGGGCAGCCTCCTGGCTCAATGTCGCAGATTCAATCCCAAACAGGAGACCCTCTATCAGTATTATGGAGAAACTATCCTGGGCCTCGATCCCACTGAGACTTTGTCCTTTTTGTAAAATTTGAAAATGATAACCCAGCTGAGGGTCTTCGAACATTACTTACCAACGGTTTTCTCGTCTTCAGGCCTCCTTCAGGCCCAGTTCAGAACATCGCGAAACAAGAGTCTCCCCACATACAGTGCAGCATGATTCAGACAACGTCTTGGGGCCACGACCCCTGTGAAATCCAAAACACATTAATCAACGGTTAAATGGTTTTCCAACTGCTTGGGCGGCTCTGGGCAGGATGACCCCGTAGGGAACCAGTTGGCCAGGAAACCTCTGGATTGTTATGAACAGCGCCACATTCATCAATCCACATTTGATGTTGCCAATGTGCCTACTTCCAAAAGGGTTATTCTGTTTCAGCCGAACGCCTGGACACCCCTGGCTTCTGTGAGTCTGGTTAACATAATTTGGACCCCCACATGGACCGTGGACCCAATCAACTTTCGTACTGTTTTGGGGCGTAATGGTTTCTGTTTTTTTGTGTGTGTGTGTATGTGTGTGTGTGCGAGTTCATTATTCCCCAAATACGCTTCGCCCTAAAGGTTCTCGCCCGTTTGTGCGGAAAAAACAGCATGCCCAGGGTTGCCCAGGGTTGCCCGTGAAATGCCAAACGAACGTGCGCAATACTAAGCAATGCCAAGCAATTGCGCTGAGTGGTCTGAGCATGACTGATATGAATGTGGGTGAGTCTGAATGTGAATGAACCTGGGCATGGTTGAGTGTACGTGTCCGTAGTCTAGGTCTGAGAGAGTCTGAATACGAGTGGGTCTGAGACTGCGTAAGTCTGGGTATGAGCGAGTCTGATTGAGACTGAGTCTGAGTGTGGATCTGGCCGTGCGTTTGACTGCGAGTGTGAGTACGTATGAATGTGAGTGAGTCTGAGTATGATGAATATGAGTCTGAGTCATAGTGGGTCCGACTACGAGTGAGTCTGACTACGAGTGAGTCGAAAGGTGGGTGGTTCTAAATGTGAATGAGTCTGAGTGTGCGTGGGTCTGAGTGTGAGTGAGTCTGGGTATGAATACGATGAGTATGCGTCTGAGTATGAGTGAGTCTGAGCACGAGTGAGTTTGAGTACAAGTGAGTCTGAGACATCCTCACAATCTGGCCCCCAGAGATGCGAAAGCCAGCGCCTCGCCCGAGACATCCTCAGCATCTGCTCCGATCGCAGACGAACCTGGCCGCCAGAACAAACTGCTCGAGACATCCTCGAAATCTGGGCCCCCTGGGGTGCGAAAGACAACGCCTCGCCCGAGAAATCCTCAAACTCTGTTCCGAAAACGGGGGGTGCTGGGGCACAAAACCAGCAAACCGCTCGAGACATCCCCCTAACCTGGGCGCGAACGGAGGAGTGCGGTACCCTTCCGGCGGCTCCCCTTTGGGTGTGCTGAAACCAGCGCCTCGCCCGAGACATCCGCAGAATCTGCTCTGCACGCAAACGAGTCTGCCCAGCAAAACAAGCAAACCGCTAGAGTCATCCTCGCAATCTGGACCCCCTGGGGTGCGAACACCAGCGCCTCGCCCGAGAGATCCTCAAACTCTGCTCCTAGAGCGGAGGATGCTGGGGCGCACAACAGGCAAACTGCTCAAGACATCCCCGGAATCTGAGCGCGAACGGAGGAGTGAGATACCCCCTGACGGCCTCCCCTTGGGGGCGACAACCAGCGTCTCGCCCGATGCATCCTCATAATCTGGCTCGAAAGCAGAGGATGTTGGGGCACAAAGCAGGCAAACCAAGCAAGGCATTTCCGATTCTGGGTGCGAACGGAGGAGTTAGATGCACCTTGCGCCCCCCCTCTGGGAATGCTGAAACCAACGCCTCGCCCGAGACATCCTCAGAATCTGCTCCGTCATCATCACCATCATCATCATCGTCATCGTCATCAGCATTACCATTACACCATCATCACAATCATCACCACTACCACCATCATCATCATCATCATCATCATCATCATCATCATCGTCGTCATCATCATTGTTGTTGCCATCATGAGCAGCAACATCATCCTACTCATCATCATCATCATCATCATCATCATCATCATCATCATCATCATCATCACCAATATCATCATCACCATCATCACCATCATCACCATCATCACCACTACCACCTCTGCCCCCATCATCATCACCATCGTCATCATCATCATTGTTTTTGTCATCATTACCAGCAACAACACCATCCTACTCATCATCATCACCATCATCATCATCAACACCAACAGCATTATCATCAACATCAGCATCGTCGTCATCACCATCAACACCATCATCAGCATCCCTATCATCATCATCATCATCATCAGCATCATCATCACCAACGTCATCACCACCACCATCTTTATCAACATCATGATGATCATCATCAGCAGCAGCATCAGCTCATAACCTAAGTAGTGGCCACGAGTATGACTCTGGGTGTGGAAAGGGAGGAGGAGAAGGAGGAAGAGGATCAGGAGTGAGGTGAGCGGTTGGGTGTGGGTCTCTGGCGCGGCCGGAGCGATAACAAGAACCCCATCCTTAAGATGTGGGGGGGATCACAAGAACCCCATCCTCAAGCTATGGGGAGCAAACGGGTGATGAGGAGGAGTGCACCACGTCACTGAAGGGGCCCTGGGACACACAAATACATACACACAAATAAAAAGACTCCCCATATTTTCTCACACTTTCTGGGTTTCTGTCTTCCCCCCCACTTCCCATAGTTTCCCATATTTCCTGGGGAATCGACGATTAACTGCGTCTGTGTGTTTTTTCCCCTCCTGAGTCACATGGTCTTAGATCTCTCCCCTCGCCCACCCTCTCCTGCCGGGCCCCGTCGGGCTTCCTTGCGGCCACTCGCGGGCATTCCAGGGCCTCTCAGTCTGCCCCCAGCGCCTTGCCTCGCGTGTCGCGGCAACGGCCCCGGCGACACGCGATGCCTTGAGAACTGATAGCGTGTCGCTCCGCTCCGTGGGGCGGGTTCTGAGACCCTGACGCTGGGAGATTGAGCAGTCGTGAGCGTGTCGCGCCGACGCGTCCTGGGCCAGAACCGCGTGTCGCGCCGACGCGTCCTGCGCCGAGCGTGTCCGTCCGCGTCCTGCGCCGACGCGGCGCGACGGGTGTTTTCTTCTTGATCGTTGGCCCCCTGGCTGTCGGGTCACAACGCGGCCCCCCAGCGGCCATTCGGGACGACTCGAGCACCCCCAGGGCGCTCTCGGCGAGGCACAGCTGCAGGACAGCACCCCGAGGATGGAACACCGCCGAGAACCCATCGTCCGAAGACCTCGCATCTCGACCCTCTGACCTCGGGCCTCGGACCTCACTGCTGGCCAGAGCCGGCGGAGCGACTCTCTGAGCGAAGCTCCCCGCCATAACCTCCAGAGGTTTTGGTGGTCGAGGGTGCGGCCCCGTCCCCTCGCGGCGCGGGCTTTTGGGGGTTCGTCCCTCCTCCCTCTTGGCCCTCCTGCTGCCGCTCCGTTTTCCTTTCCTCCTCTCCCCTCCTCCCTCTCCTCTCCTCCACTCCCCTCCCCTCCTCCCTCCCCCCCTCCCTCTCCTCCCTCTCCTGCTGTTGCTCTGCCTTCCTTTGGACCTCCTTCTCCCCTCCTCCCTCTCCTCCCGTTTGTGCTCCTCCCTCCTGATGGTCCTGGTGATGTGGGCCCCAGGGGGCTCCGAGCTGGAGCGCAAACCTGGCGACACCCCTCGGCCAGGGACACCTCTGGCGACTCTCGGCTCGAGGCGCCAACCAGCGGCCCACTGCGCCCGTCCCTCCTCCCCTCCGCTGCCCAGCCGTCTTCTCTCGGTGGGGCACGAGGTGCCCTCGCGCGCGCCACGGAGCACGGATCACGCCCCAAAGCCCCGGTTGGACACAACGCCCTCCCCCCACCCCCCCCCTCCTGCGCTTCGCCAGGGGGGCCACGTGCGAGCCCTGCCCCTGCCCCCCACGATTTCTGAAGGGGGAGGGTGGGGTTCACTTCGTTCGGGAGCTCCCGAGCGAAGTGAGCCCCCCCCTCCCTCAGAAGTCGTGGGGGGCAGGGGCAGGGCTCGCACGTGGCCCACTATTCGCGCCCTCCGCCGCTGGCGGCGGGCGGCGAGGCGGGACCTTCCGCGATCGAGCGCAGCGCTCGGAGTCTCCCTGAGGGGCGGGTCTTCTCAGAAACCCTGGCACCGATGGCTTAGACAGCTTAGACAACTTCTCGGAAGGCGGGAGGACTTCCGATCCTTCTGGGGAGGCCCGCCCCTTCTCACCTTCCCCCTCTGGGCGACGCCCCCCTGGGCCGGGAGCACCTTTAGCGACGCCCGACAAGAAGAGCCAACAAAGCGCCCGGAGCACCTCGAGCAACGACCCCCTGGGGCCTCGACCCTCGAGGCGAAGCTCCTATTAGCTCGGCGACGGGGCGCACGTCATCACGAGCGTGTCCTCGACGAAGCGCCCCCGCCGCCCCCCCCCTGCCATCGCTCGGACGTCCACTCCCCGTGCACTGTTCGGTTTCGTGCGCTCATTCTCCCCAAGATGATCTAGGGTGCTCCTCGATGGTCCCCGCCGGGACACACTCGCACGTCCGGGCAGTGCCAGGCCCAGTGGTGACCACCCATGGCATTGGCTGGCCTCCCAATGCCACCCTCTCTGCCAAATGCGCCAGGGGCCCGCGCTCGCGGGCGGGCCGGTTTTTTGGACTCAACGCCCTCACTGCCTGAAGTGCAACGAGCTGTGTGGCAGGCGGCACGCTCCAGCAGGGCGACCTGCTGGACCTCTTCCCTGCCCAATAGGTAGAGATACACAAGGCACCTGCAGGGGCGGATCGCGGCACTGTGCACCTGCTTGGCCCCAGAGGACGGCGGAGCTTGCAACAACATGCCTGGTGGCCCGTTTGCGGGGCCTCGGTCGCGGGAGGCGCTGATCATGCAGCTGTTTTGCGAAGCGCTCGGCTCTTCCCTGCCATGACGAGTGGGCCATCGGTCGAGACTCGCTCACCTCCCCAAGGCGACTGCTCACTACTGCGACAGTGATGCCCGAAGGGGCGTCTCCCACCACTGAGGACGAGGGCTCGGGCATCAGGCTCAACCCCCTGGATCAAGTAAACACGCCCTCGTAAGAAGGATGTCGAGTAGACTAGTTAGGATGGCGTAGTGAAGGGTAGGGTCGACTAGGGTAGAGCAGGGATGTCAGAGCGGAGTACTCCTAACAATGCAGTAGCGCACGCACCTACGCTGCTTCACAACTAATGGCGAAAAAAGTGCACGCGTGGACATAATAATCGAACTGTGATACTAATGCCACTGCCAATATTGTAGTGCCAGTGGAATTTTACTAGCAATAGAATGGTGCCAGTACCGCTCGAAGAAAACGCAGCCATTCCGCTGCACCATGTGTCATCAATGCAATGAAGGAATCAATGGTCATTAAATGAATACACACGCTTACCGACTGCACTACTACCAATATTACCAATGCGGTAACACGCCTGAAGTAATGCACGGTTGCATATGTGTCCCTCTCGGTTCCCATGGCGAGATGCAACGAATAATTTCCGTAGGTTCCTGTGTTTCCTTTTGTGTCCCACTGTTCGCCAATTGCTCCTTTTGTTTCCATACGTTTCCCTCTGTGTCACTTTTACTTCCTCTGGAGAGGCGGGAGCAACAATCTCCGGCGGTAACGGTGCTTCCCTCTGCTTCCAATCGTTTCCTATTGTTTCCTTGTGTTTCCCACTGTTTCCTTGTGCTTTGCAATGGAGCGGTAAAAGGAATCACCTGCAAGCGTTAAAAGGTATCCTTCTGTTCCGTATAGTTTGTCAGCACATCCTTTTTTCCACTCTGTTTTCCGCTGGGCTTCCCGAAGGTAGGTATATTGAGTAACCTCTGGAGGGTAGTGTGAGTCCCTCTGCTTCGTTTTGATTCCTTCTGTTTCCCTCTGCTTCCTTTGGTTCACTTCAGTTTCCTCTGTTCCCCTCTGGTGCTCTGGAAGTGAATGTGCTTCCACTTTGTTTCCCTTGTTTCCGTATCTTTACTTTTGATTCCCATTGCTTCCTTTTATTCCCATTGATTTCCGTCGGCGTCCCTTTGTTCCTCTCCGCTTCCTTTTTTGTTTCAAGCTGGTTACCCATGGATAGGTAAAATAAACATCTTAAGGGGTTCGTATCCCAACCTGTGGGTTCCACTGTTTTTTCGTCTTGGAAGGCCTGGGGCCAACCAAATATGCCCGAACCAACCGAATATTTGGAGTACGCGTACGGTTTTCGCATGCTCGCCTTTTCGGTCTCAGGAACGACCTAGACGGCGCTCCAAGACGGCCCACCAGCCCAAAAGAAATATCCAGGACTCAAGGACGCCCCGCATAGAGCCTAACGAGGGCGAACTCGAAGGAGGCTCCTAAGAGCCTTCTCAAGACGCATCGTGTTCACGAGCGAGGTCCAGTGGCGGGATCGGCCGATGGCTATCAACTAATCAGAAGCAATAGCAACACCCAACAAAAAGTGAACAAAGCTTGTTTCAGACTTGCCGTCAAGACCAGGACTGTCCGCACTTGAGGTGAATCGCTGTACTTGTCTATGAGCCAACCGAACACGCGTGGTAGGCGTATCCCCCTGATGAGTAGGAGCACGTCTGCTGCTGGGGTCTCTGCAACGACATCGACAACACATACAGTGAAAATGACGATGATCTCGAGGACGTAAGTCCACTGGCGCCAGAGCTTGGGGATGGCGACAAGGTACAACAATGCTTCCATCATGAAAAAGATGCAGAGTATCCGCTGAAATACCTTTGCGAGATATCCGATCTGGGTGTCATGGCCGACGTCGAGGGATATCCACACGGGCACGATCACCGAAAAAGACAGGACGACGGAAACCATTTGCAGAGTGGGGGACAAGGCAAGTTTCAGGAGCCGCCCGCGGAAAGTGCCCTTCCACTCCCGGGCCGCTTCGGCGAAGTCGTCTGGTGCCTCGTTCGCCATCTCCCTGCGCAACTCCTCGATGTCGTTCAACTTCCTCTCCACCAGCTGGCGGTCCGTGTGGCGCTTCCTACTGTTCCGACTGGTGTTGGTTGGGGGAGAATCCCCGCCCCACGCGGATGCTGCGGACACGGACGAGGTACTCGTCATCCTCCTGGCGCTGAACAGCGACGGGATCTCGCTGTCTGGAGTGACCACGCGGACGCGCGCGCGCCTGACTGACGGACTGTCCGCTGGGGTGGCCTGGCTGGTGTCGATGGCCTGGCTGGTGTCGGTGGCATCCGTGGTGACCCTCCTCTGCGGCCCGGCCGCCTCCCCGATCCTCTCTGCGGCTGCCTGCGCCAGGACCTGTTCCTCGGCCCTGCCGGCCTCGTTGGCAGAAGAGCAAAACAAACGCGGCACAAACAACAAAAACTTTCGGAGGTCCGCATGGATATCTTGCATCGGCGCTGGGACCTCCTCCCCTGGTGGGCACATCGGGCGAGGGGCGGCGCCAAGGGCGGGAGGCGCCGCCAGGGGGATCCACCGTCGACTCAAGAGATCCGCGCGGATCTCCGAACAAGTTGGATTGTTGTGCCGCTTCTTGCTCTCCCAGCTGAGCTGCTTCCAAATCTCGATATCCAGCCGTGGTTTGCTCTCCGTCAAGGCCTTGACCTTTGCGCGGCAGATTTGTAATACATTCGCAGACGCGGGCATATGTTTACACATGCGGGTCCGTTGATTATTATGAATTTACACGTTATTGTATAGAGGTTGACACTCACATGTGTCCCTACGGCTACATGGGTATGCATGCGTATACTTGTGTCTCTGCATATGACGATATACGGTTATATATATACACATAGATATACACACATATCCGTGTATCTAGGTATGAGCATCGACGTCCTCGGCGCCTAGATGGGCGAAAGCTGGGAACGCGAAGGCATGCCCCCCCCGCGCCCCTATATGGCGGGCTTCAGAAAGCCTGGATTCAGAGCGAGATTCCCTGTCGAGCGCGTCTCCCCTTACGCGACGCCCAATCTCGCCTCTGCCGGCCTCCGCCGACCTGTCGCTGGCGGAGCCGCCACCGCCGCTTTCATGCTGCCAGCCTTCCGCCGAAGATGGGGCGCCGACTCCGTCCATCCTCGAAGCCTGCTCATAGGGGGACCTACTCCGCTTTTGACCACCCTCGCTTCCAAGAGATACCAAACGATGCCAAACTGCGGCCTGTACTGGTCAGGCCGCTTGACGAGGAGGCGCGTGGTATGACTTGGTTCTGCCTGGAAGCGAAAGCGGGGTAAGTAATTCACGCTCTGAGTTCATTCTGGAGCGCCCTATGCGGTGCGGGCATCAGGCAACGGGCCCTCAGGGCCCGATCGCCGGCGGACTGCCGCATGAGGCAGGCCGTGGGAAGCAAACGCCGCCCACCTCAGATCAGGAACCCGCCAAGGCCTGAAACCTCCCGGTGTTAAAACCCGCGCCCGTCACTAATTTCTGCGTTTGGCGACGTTTGGCTGTAGGGAAGGAGGAGGGGGGAAGCAGGGGGGTGAAAAGGGCGGGCAGGGGGGAGGCAGAGCGGGGAGGAATAAGGTAGGGAAAGGTAGGGAGACGGAAAGGAGGAAGGGGGAGGAGGAGCGCTCGCGCGGGCGGAGCGTTGTTTTGCTCGCTCCGCGCAGCGCTCCCCAGCGCCACGCGCCAAGTTCCGCGCCGCGTTCCTCCGCGGCACGGTCCACCTTCGGGGATGGCGGAAGGAGAAGGAGGAAGGGGAGGAGGCGTAAGAGGAAGAGGAGGAGGAGGAGGAGGAGGAGGAGAAGGAGGAGGAGGGGAGGGGGAGGAGGGGGGAGGAGGGGGAGAGAAGGAGCAGGGAGGGGAAGTTACGGACTTATGGGTAATACGACTATGCCGGCCACAGCAATTCTGCCAGCACATTGCCTTTCCAACCGCGCTCCGCTTTGCTCGAGGAGGAGGGGGGGAGGAGGCGGAAGAAGAAGAGGAGAGAGAAGGAACAGGAGGAGGGGGAAAACAAGACGGGGAGGGCAGTGCCACCTTCGTACGCCACTGTGCTCACTGTGGCCGCCGTGGCCCAAGCCCTGCACGATAAGCTCCCACAGGGCCTCCAAGTCAGAGGTGCCGACCGAGAAGGAGGATGAGGATGAAGGGGGATGAAGAGGAGGAGGAGGAGGAGGAGGAGGAGGAGGAAGAGGAGGAGGAGGAGGAGGAGGAGGACGAGGAGGAGAGGGAGGAGGAGGAGGATAACGAGGAGGAGGCGTCAAAGGGTGAAAGGGTGAGAGGGAGGGAAGGGAGGGGGGGGAGGACGAGGAGGAGGAGGAGGAGGAGGAGGAGGAGGAGGAGAAGGAGGGAAATATGATGAGGAGGCGGTGGGATAACGACGGGGACGCTCGAGGACGGAGGACGACCTTGCTTCGCGACGAGGGGGTTCGAGGACACTTGAAATTTGATGTCCAAGGGTCTGTCGTGTTTGCGCGGGCGGTCGCGAGGCAAGGGTGTCTTCAGGACACCCATACCTCGCGACGGGGATGCTTGAGGACGCCCTTGTCTCGTGACGGGGTGGGGCTTGAGGACGCCCTGCCTTCGCTACGGGGAGGCGGAGGCTCGAAACCACCCTTGTTTCACGACGGCCCGCGCAAGCATGGCAGACCCTCGGACGTCAAATTCCAAGTGTGCCGAAACGGCAAGAGGGAAAGAGCGGAGGCGGGGGAATTGTGGATATGAGCGATGCCCCAGAAGGATTCTCGAGGTTCGGTTCGGGCCGCGGGCTAGCGGGCAACGGGCCCGCCGCGCGACCGAGCAGGGGAAGGGGAGGCAAAAGGGCGGGAGAGACGGGGCAGGAGGCGGGGGAGGTTGGAGGACGGTGACGGGGAGAGAGGGATGGGGCATGGGGAAAGGGCAGGATGAAGATCAATTGGGAGGCGCGGGCGGGACGGATATGCCGCCGTCAGCCGCGGCGAGGGATACATCCTGTCGAGCCTGGCGCCCCTTGAGGGGGCCTCCCCCAGATGGTCACGAGTGCCGCCCATATAGTTACGGCCCCCGTGCTTCTCACCCGAGGAGGAGCAGACGGGGGATCAGGAGGAGGAGGAGGAGGAGGCGGAGGACGAGGAGGAGGAGGCGGATGAGGAGGAGGAGGAGGAGGAGGAGGATCGCAAGGACGCAGCACGCTGAGCATTTACAACACACTCGGTGCATCCTTCCCCTTGGGACAAGGGTGGCACGGGGGAGGAACTACAGAGGTGGGGGATCCAATTGCAAGGTACCTTAGCTAGACCACCTAACTTCGCGCGTCGCGCCCCGCGATGCGCGGTTATCGTCGCGCCCTCGCGAGGGCGCTTTGGAGGAGATCAGCCTTGCTGCCTATGCCGCGTCGCGCGATTCGCGATTATCTTCGCACCCCTGGGGCCCTGGGGGGGAGAAGGAGGGGGAGGTCAGGACCCCTGAAGTCTTTCAGCGCCGCCGCACCGCTGCTCAGCGGCCGCCGCCGCCGCCGCCGAACGGCAACTTGGGCTGCTTCGGGTCCTCCATCGCGGTCTTCCTCTTCCTCTTGGTGCCAGCTGCATCCTCCTTCTTCTTCTGCAGTGCCTCCTGCTGCTCAGCGGCGGCCTTGGCCCCGTCCTCCTTCAGCTTCAGCTCTGCCTGCTCAGCGGCAGCCGTCGCGGCGGCTGCCCCCTGCTCCTTCTGCTTCTGCAGTGCTTCTTCCTGCTCAGCGGCAGCCTTCGCGGCGGCCTCGTCCTCCGTCCTCTTCAGCTCTGCCTGCTCAGCGGCAGCCTTCGCGGCGGCTGCCTCCTCCTGCTCCTTCTTCTTTTGCAGTGCCTCCTGCTCCTCGGCGGCAGCCTTCGCGGCGGCTGCCTCCTCCTGCTCCTTCTTCTTTTGCAGTGCCTCCTGCTCCTCGGCGGCAGCCTTCGCGGCGGCTGCCTCCTCCTGCTCCTTCTTCTTCTGCAGTGCCTCCTGCTCGGCGGCGGCAGCCTTCGCGGCGGCCTCGTCCTCCTTCTGCTTCAGCTCTGCCTGCTCAGCCTTCGCGACGGCTGCCTCCTGTTCCTTCTGCTTCTGCAGTGCCTCCTGCTCAGCGGCAGCCTTCGCGGCGGCCTCGTCCTTCTTCAGCTTCAGCTCCTCCTGCTCAGCGGCAGCCTTCGCGGCGGCTGCCTCCTCCTGCTCCTTCTTCGTCTGCAGTGCCTGCTCGGCGGCGGCAGCCTTCGCGGCGGCCTCGTCCTCCTTCAGCTTCAGCTCTGCCTGCTCAGCGGCAGCCGTCGCGGCGGCCTCTCCCTGCCCCTCCTGCTCCTTCTGCTTCTGCAGTGCCTCCTGCTGCACCTGCTCGGCAGCAGCCTTCGCGGCGGCCTCGTCCTCCTTCCTCTTCAGCTCTGCCTGCCCAGCGGCAGCCTTCGCGGTGGCTTCCTCCTGCTCCTTCTGCTTCTGCAGTGCCTCCTGCTCAGCGGCAGCCTTCGCGGCGGCCTCCTCGACTTCCTTCAGCTTCAGCTCTGCCTGCTCAGCGGCAGCCTTCGCGGCGGCCGCCTTCTGCTCCGCCTGCTTCAGAGCGGCCTCGGCTTCAGTCAGCTCCACATCCTTCTCGGCTGGTGCTGCGGAGTTCATCTTGGCGGTGAGCACGCGAGACAACGACTGCAGCAGGGGCAGGTCGGGCGCCTGACTGGCATCGTCTGTGCATCGATACTGAGCGGGGCAATTGCTTGGAGGACGGAGGTTGTGGATGAGGAAGGACGCAACCGTTGATGGATGACCGTGCGGGGGCGGAGCGGAAGGGGAGGTGGAGGGCGCCACCAAATATCGGAAGGGGAGGTGGAGGGCGCCGCCACATATGCGCACAAATGCCCTGGCCATGAACTTGCCCACTCTCGTCGTTGTTGTAGGGAAGGTGATGGGAGATTGGACGGACAGGGCGAGGGACAGCATGCGTGGATGGAAGACGACGGTGGACCCCATCAGAACCCCAGGCGCCTCAGGCATAGTCATGATCGTGCCGATGCTGGACAAGACGTGTTGGATGGGCTTGCCGACCCGTATGTTGCCGACGATCTTTCTGGCGCGGCGTTGCATCAGCGCCAGCCCCCAACCCCCGCCCCCCCACACGCGCACACGCACACAGGCACGCACACACATACACACGCGCGCACACATGCACGCATGCACGCGCGCGCACGCACGCACGCATGCATGCACACACACACGCACACGCGCGCGCACACACGCACGCGCGCACTCACACACACACACACACCCACACACACATATTCACGCACGCACGCACGCACGCACGCACGCACGCACGCACGCACGCACACGCGCGCACACACACACCAACACACACACACACACGCGCGCGCGCGCACACCTTCCCCTACCTCATCCCTCCACCCCCCCCTGCTCGATACCTCCTGCCATCGAGAGGGAGTGCGAGTTGAGGACATCTACGACACTAGACCATCACCGCGAGGCCCCATCCATAAAATATAGCGCCCTGATTCCATGGCATGCGGTCTCCGACTTCTCCGCGACCAGGAAGCCAGCAGGGATGTAGAACACCTGGCCCAGCGCATCACCCCATCCCCACATTAGAGCATGCGGGAGAATAGGCATCAACACAGTGCGAATCTGAGCAAGGAGTCTCGGAGAGTGGGGGAGAAGTTCGAAGGCGAGGA